TAAGTGAAGTATATCTAAAAGATGAACAGATGAAGAGTCAAAGCAGGCTTGAGGACAAGGGTCATGTCATATTCATCTTTGCCTCACATCTTTAATGATCTGAATGATCCCAAAATTATCACCAGCCATGTAATCTTGTGCAAGCCCCTTTATTTCCTTAGAGCTTAATTTCCTCATCTGTAAAATTGGGGTAATAGTCTCTGCCCAGCCTCTTCCACTGAGTAGCTATAAGGAATAAATGAGATCAGGTATGTCAAAGGCCAAGGAAGTTAAAATACTCAAGAAATGTAAAAGCACTATAATACAGATTGTTAGTCAAGTCTTCCCACAGAATGCCCAAAGCCCTCACTATTGCCTTCATTTTTCCAAAAGCCTCTAAAATCTAAAGTTTAAGCTAACAACAGCATGGTCCCCCCTTTTTGGGTCACAATGGGTTGGAAGATGTAATTTTATATTTCAGCTATGCCACAGAGATTCAGATTGATCAAGTCCTTTATCAGCCTTTCAGGTCTTGTGGGCAAGATATCACATTTTTCTTTGATTATTCTTATACCACGCTCACAAATGTGTCACATGAAACCTAGAAACTAAAAAATAAGAAACATTTTAGACAAAGGTGATTTTATAGAAAAGCATAAATGGCCTTTCCAGGAAAACTTGTTTCTTATCATGTTTCAATGGATATCTACTTGCCTACTTTCCTGCCTCAGTTGAGAAGTCAAATAAGAAATCAGCTACCTACCAGGCCTGGTAAACATCTCATCAATCCTACCACTAACTGATTTTATATAAATTCCCAACTTTCACAAAATGGCATTTTAGCAAGGCAGTAATAAGTCTGTAATTGCCATCATCAACTCCTGGGTAATATAATATGACCCAGAAGACAGAGGTCATTTGAAGACCAGAAAGAGGAATGAGAATCAAAACTAAAGACAGACAAACTCTCAATCTTGATGAGAAAATTCAGCATGGTTGGCCATCCCTCCAGCATTTCTTCACAAGCAGACTCTGGGCATGGGTGATAGGTTTTTCCACTGTAGTTACAATTTCATTTCACAAGGTAAAAGGCTCTTCTGTCCAAGTATAATAGGAAAAGAGAGAGCCTGTCTCCCTGCGAATTACTAAAACACAGTTTTTGATAGCCTATTTTGTCATGTCGAGTAGAAAGGCCACCCACGCACTCCCTCTGTACCTGTCCACTACTGGGGCAATAAGTTAGTATAATAATAGGTAAAGCAGAAAAGACCAGCTGGGCACAAAATGGTCCATAACACAATGGCTCCTGGAAAAAAAGAGTGGTGTTTACTTCTATTTTTTGGCTCTGGATATTTGTTTTGGGGTCATATCCCACT